AATAAATTCTTGCTAAAATTGGTCTTGTTGTAATGGACAATGTAGGGTTTCATTTTTTTCAGAATGATATTTTAGTTTTATGTTGGAGATTATTATTTGGACTATCTCGAATCTGTGCCCACGCCCCAAAAACTAGCTTTACAGGAAGTTAATTTTTCATAGTGTTTACACGTGGTCATGTTGTGAAGGAATTTGCTGAAACGTACGTAGTTTGTTACCATGACAGTGTTGTTGGTTTTAAGACAGGTGTTCAGGATACATGTCTTACATAAAGTTGTAGTGTTATGTGGGAGTAATAATTTTCTTAACCATTTTTAGCATTTTTTGATTGGGTAACCATGGCAATCACATGTCAGAAATCAAATGAATTTTTTCTTAATTGACTCAAATTTTATCTCTACTATTAATGTAATTGTTATGTAGTTTATAAATATATATACATGTAATGATATATATTTTTTCATAACCAAACTGCAATACCTGTATATCTCAAACACGGTCAATAGTTCGAGGAAAAATGCAAATTAACTGTTTCCTGCTACCCAAATCTGTCTCCATATCTAGGTACTTATCAAGTTGTGACCCCTTTCTCCTGTAATGTACAATTTAATATACTGCTTGACCAGATGTAATTAAACACTAAACAGTCACCTTAACACCCACATAGTGTATAGACATTTCCCAACTGGAATCCTTTATCTATCATTAGAGAGTTATGAATAAAAAGAAATCTATTAGTGGGATTCAAATACTATGGGAGGGATAGTTTTATGATGGCCAGAAAAAAGTATCCGGATAGTTTTATAATGGGGGTTAAAATATGATATGACACCGGCTAATCTCGTGATTTAACTGTCACGTGAGTCTGTCTGACCACTTGATCTGGGTCCTTGATATGCCTTGTTTGAGAGCTAACAGTATATCTATGTCAAGCGTTTTTGTAAGCAGAGTCAGCAATTTAAGGGCAGTGCGTCTGAACACTCAATTCAAATGCTAAATGAATTATCATTAATTGGTGTATCAAGATATCAAGGTTCAATAACGGTTAATGTATTCGATGATTAAAACGAAGGAATTATCAAGAAATAAATACATTTGTGGGATCGCACAATATTGCACGAAGTGCGCACGATAGGAAAATTGGATGAAACAAGCTATCGTACATTTGTGCTCACGTTGTGATGTTCTATCGTGGTTGATATAAATATGGAAATGACTTATAAATAAGTGTGGAATATGGTTTATTTATTTTCTAAATATATAAGAATACAACTAGGTATATTTCCTAATTAATTTATTAATATTTAGGTTGAACACTTGTAGATAAATCAGATACACATTTAATAGTTATATGCGTTCGTAATCTTTAAGTGTTTTGCCTAGAAAACACTATGTGGGTGTTAAGGTGACTGTTTAGTGTTTAATTACATCTGGTCAAGCAGTATATTAAATTGTACATTACAGGAGAAAGGGGTCACAACTTGATAAGTACCTAGATATGGAGACAGATTTGGGTAGCAGGAAACAGTTAATTTGCATTTTTCCTCGAACTATTGACCGTGTTTGAGATATACAGGTATTGCAGTTTGGTTATGAAAAAATATATATCATTACATGTATATATATTTATAAACTACATAACAATTACATTAATAGTAGAGAGATAAAATTTGAGTCAATTAAGAAAAAATTCATTTGATTTCTGACATGTGATTGCCATGGTTACCCAATCAAAAAATGCTAAAAATGGTTAAGAAAATTATTACTCCCACATAACATACAACTTTATAATACATGTATCCTGAACACCTGTCTTAAAACCAACAACACTGTCATGGTAACAAACTACGTACGTTTCAGCAAATTCCTTCACAACATGACCACGTGTAAACACTATGAAAAATCTTGAATGTTTACCCTGCGTTTCTGTATCCCTTGAGTGTATATAAAATATATACATATATGTAAACATTACAAAGACGTCTCTTTATGTCACAGCAATGAATCATTTAAATATCTCATACCGTCAGAAAAGAAAATCATTTTTATTACTTCTGTATTACTCTAATTTTTCCTTCATTTTATAAACAAACAACATATGCTAGGGTAAAACTGAAGTGCTGTGCTTGTTACGCGAGCGACCCAGCCAGTACGGATCCGGACCTGTCATGTATATATACATCGGTACCGGTATACAGGTAAACTTTTGTTGCACAACTACTCGTCACTTTCTGAGGTGTGAAACTATGTACATGTAGGATAAGACTAATTAACGCAAGTTCAATTTTATTTCAAAAACTGTTGAATTATAAACGATTTTTGTAATCACCGATCAATTTTAGTGCTCATTTAGTAATAACTGCACGAATTCTCCGTTTCATTCCGTAATATTATCCAACCATTTTGACCAAAACGCTAAAAATGAATATGTGTGATCCCATCGCAATTTTTGGTGCGTTGTGCGTTAACACAACTGTATGAACTATTTGATAACCAACCCTGTAGACTTTCATCCAAAGTCAATTCCATGTACGGTACCCTGCTGTAAGGAACGACAACTCTGTTTGAGATTGCCTGTAGACATTTGCTGACCGAAATCAACACCAAAATTTATCTGACCATTCTAATACAATATAGTGATGGTTTCCTAAAGATAACTGATGTTGAGGCCTGCTGGACTACTTGAGTGTTTCATCCGGATTATTCCCACGGTACGACCCGCACGCGTTTACATCCGAGCTAAAAATAGTGAATGATATAAGTTGAAATAATTTCAATTGTTGTGAATTCAAACATGTGGATATTTCAATTGGTAGGTCTGTAGGTTTAGTTATTAAGTCTGGTAGTGGCTGAAAAGAGCGAAACTTATATATCACAATGAAATATCGGATGAAAATATTCAGACAATAAAACGCCAGTAAATTTTGGTTAACTGGTTAGTGTTTCAGAAATAAAGAAAAAATGGCGAGCTACCGGGAGATGTCGATCGCGCAGTTATTGTGACGTTGACGTTTTGTGTGCTTGTAGTGTTATGACGTCATGATATTGGTTGGCGTTATACGCCGATTAGTTAGATGAAGCAGAAGACGCTTACTCTTCTGGAACACTTGGTCGTTTTCTGTTAATACCTTTTCAGTAGATTCTTTCTTTCTATCTTATTTTGTTATCCGTTTCATCAGGTGATTACTGTTGAAATCACCATCCGTTCATCTGCCCGTAACAATTTTTGTTGTCGCTATTTCTGTAGAGGTATTGGGTGCATATTTTTTTTTTCAAATTTCATATGTATGTTTCCCTCGATCTCTAGTTGTGCATTGCCCCCATTATCGGAGTGAGAAAAATTTCCGAAAGGCGGCCATCTTGGATTTTGAGGTTAATATATTGTATAGTTCCGTTGAGGTACTTACTGGATAGAGGTGTCTAAAATTTCATACGTCGATTTCCTTTTAATGATACACCTCGAAATATATCTCAACTTTATAAAGCGTATCGATATAAAAAAAATGTATGTCGACATAAAAAAGGATTCGTCAGTAAGGGTTTTCAACCTTACTAACCAACGTTTCTCTTTACTAATTAGTACATTGTACTGGTACTATTTAAAACATACGCTACTGTCAATGCTATTTACACAATGTAAATATGTCTAGCGTTGATTGGCTCCACAGCTTTAATAAAGAAACTGAAATAAGCGTTAAGCTCATCAGATCAGTTAAAATAAGCGCTTATCTCCATAATGTAGTATTTATATGTTTTTATTGAATAAGAAAGTTTAAACTAAGTTCCGAATTGGAGCAAATTGACTCGTGGTATTAGATTTGTAATGGCATCAATTCAGTATTTCTTAGTACATAATATTTTTACCACTTTTGGTTTTCATTTACAATCCCCCTGCCATAAAATTACTATATAATTAAACTTACATCGAGAGATTTATATCCTAGTCGTTTACTCTAGGATATGAATTGCCCTTTTTGTTGGGAGAACATTGCTCTCTCTTTTTCATTGAAGTCCCCGTACAGTATACGCTGTTGTTATCACACCATGTATATGACTTTCAGCATCACTGCTTCCTTTGCAAGCCTATGTGTACATTATCATATATTTATGAACAAAACCGCTTTACTACACTAGAAAATATCAGCTTACACTCTCAACGGTGCACAGGTTTATGTAAACATTTCTGACATTTAGCAGACTCATGGCCCTAGTTACTCAAATCTTGATAAGTATTAACCAGTGTTTAGTGAAAATTTTCAAATTCTTATTAAACATAGTGGAAACATCCTGTTTCATTTCAGAGCTGTAGATTTGTTGATACAGGTGAAATTGATATGTTTGTGTTCCGATCTTTAACAGTCCTTGTTTTTGCAATATCAACAATTATACTTTGTCACTTTCTACTGTTTGACTCTAACCAAGCTTTAAACAACTGGTGTCTGGTGTCAAAGACAGATATTTGTAAATTATGACGTCATGCAGCATGAAATGTATTTGTTTAAACGTTTTCTCTCAGTATAAAACATCTTACGCAAGTTCCCATTTCATATTCAAATTCATGAAACGAGTCTAAGGTTTTTTTTCTTCATTTTAGTGAGTCATGAAATGAAAACACGGACTCAAATCTCTTTGTAATCCAAATATTTTACCCAAACGAATGGTGGTGCACGCCGTACCATTCTCGTTCCCGTTTTCTCCTCTCAAAATGGAGACTTTTGCTCATGAGTGTAATATTTGTTATTGTACATGGCTGGGGGAGGAGGGGCGTGATAGTTTTCAAGAATAACATGAAAATACCAACATCTTAATCCAAGCTCAAAATCATGAAGGTCAAAAAACGAACAACAGAAAGATTAACACGATGACCTTTAAAAAGGTACATGGAGAGTAAGACCATGGGTTCCGGAAGGATTAGAGTGAGAATCAGATTTATAACAATGAATTATGATTTCATTTCGATTCCACCGAACATTTTTATTTTATCATTTTTTTCTTTTCAGAAACATCATGCTGACGTTACTGCCATGACTCAATGATCAGAGATGATGTTCAAAACAAGATGGCGGGCGAGCACCCTATGTCTGTTGGCTGTTGTCACGATTGTTGTCATACTGCTGTTGAACACCTTGGACTTTCCGTTCAGCCAACTAGACAAGGGATTCAGGCTCGAACGAGACCCAATCCCATCTTCCTCCGGTAAATATACCATACTTAAATGGCAATAATGATTTAAAAAAAAACAGAATTTTTATTCAAACTCAAATTCGATTTAATTACATTGTAATGTGACACACAGACAAAAAAATCAATAAATCGCTTCATGTTGATATTTTCTCTATCCAGATGTCATTCGTAGTTCACGGGAAGGTCAACTGAAATAGTGCAGTGGTTGTTTTTATAAGTTCCAAATCCATGTTTGCTATAAGAGTGAAGAACAACATTTGTTTACACAACATCTGTTTACACTGCTTGGCATATTTCTATCCCTTTGTCAGTTTATGCGCTGGTAAGAGATAACTGATTTCGATAAGGTTACATAGTTACGATAGATACAAAGCGAAAAAGGAAGACTGTGATTCTCTACGCCATTATTTCAGGAACTTTTTGAAACCCAAATAAATTTCTTGTGATGAATCGTTGTTTATCTGAGTTTAATCATTAAAAGTTGGGATTTTTATAAGATGCTTTTGAAGAAAACTGTTCAAAATTATCTTTTTATGTTCTTATTGAAAGTATACACCCCAATTTACCATTTAAACAAAGATGTGATACTCACTTTGCGGACTTTCTTTAAAGATCTAGCTAGATCGATTTATATACGTTCGCATGGCCCTCATTCATCAAAACAGGTTTGCGTTGTTATAAGCCGAACAAGATGGAATATTTGTGGAGATCAGAAAATTAACAGAAAATAAGGCTAATGAAGTAATAAAATTGTAACCCCGGCAGAAATTTTAGTGAACAGCAAACAAGCCTGTGTAATTTTCCCAGTACTCTTCATAAAATCTATTACTAGTCACATGTACCTTTCTGTTCCGGATTTCTCGGTCCGCTTTATTTGACAGTTGGGCTTGGAGTATTCCAACTAATTTCGCCTGTCCAAACTGACCACAGGGGAGATATTTTGATGTTTGTAGTAGTTTTAAAAGTCCTTAGAATAAGTTCTTATAAGGTACAAAACAGTTAGAAATTTTGAAACTTTGGGTGAATGCGCCTGAGTGTGACATTCTTAACATACAGCAGTAGAACTCGTGTTGTTAATTAAAATGTTTATCGCAACAGACAACATTTTACGCAGCTGAATATGTAAGAACTAATTTTATGTTTTTACATAAATGAATTGAATTTCACACAGTTTGATAACACGGATTTCACAAAGAATGAATTAGGGGATTAAGCACTGTAAACCGTGGTATTTCTGTGGTAAACTCCGTCTGTAGAACGTGCTTAATTTTAACAGCTTTAAATCAACGCGGTTGAAATCGGGGAATGATTTGTATTAATACATTTTCTTGCATGGTTCCATTTGTTGAATTTCAAACGGGTAAAGTTGAGCTAGAAGATGTTTTCTTTGTTTGATTTTCTTGACATTTCAAAACCTTTTGTTAATGTTTTGTATTCGTTTTATTTAGTTAGAGCATGGATTAATCTGTTTGTACAGTCGAACATCGTTATCTCAAAGTCGACGGGTCCATGAGAAAATTTTCATTTATCCGATCATTTGATTTAATTCAGATCGAATGTTTAGTCCAAAGTTTGACCTAGACCAACGAAATACTTCGAATTATACAGGGTTTTCGACTTAAAGAATTCGAGATAACGACGTTTGAGTATTTATTTATTCATTCATTTATTTACTTATTAACGAAGAAGAACTTAATTAATTAGCTTAATTCTATTATTTACACATATTTTCTTATGCATTTCATGTTTTATTTTCTAGTATCGGTCCCAGTGATCATTCCGGAAGTTGAAGTTTACACATTCCAGGAAGTGACGTCATGGACACGTGAAACAAATATTTGTGCTTCCATTGATAATCAAATCTACCATGGAGATTTTTTCCGTGTTCCTTTGGAATCTCAAGTTGGAAGTTTATCTGTATTTATCCATAACCCGACAAAAGATGGACTTTCCGGGAAAATTTACAAAGAACGAAGATGGGAGCCTAATATTCTAAACGTTATACTGTTATTCCTTAGGACCGATGACGACACAAACTTCATTGATATCGGAGCAAATATTGGACTACATGGTCTACAAATCGCAAAATATGGACGCAAAGTCTTGGCTTTAGAAGCCAGTAAGCATAATGTCCAGCATATATGTGCCTCTACTCACTATGGACGTTTCCATGACTACGTAAAAGTTGTATATAATGCCGCAGGAAAGAATCACGAAACATCTAACATTATCCTCGGAGGCTGGGGAGATTTGGCAGGGAATTTCGTGAACATATCAAATACAAGAAAACAAAAGTTCAAAACAGACGGGAAATTTGCTTACAAGGACACTACTGTCTCAGTACCAACTGTCACGCTTGATGATCTGCTATCTTGGCAACATTTTGAAATTTACAAAAAATCATTCATCAAAATGGACGTTGAAGGTTCGGAACATCTTGTGATGGAAGGGGCCAAACGATTTATGCAAAATTCAAATATCAAAGGGATTATAATGGAATGGAAATGGCATAAAGGTCAAAGTTCAGCTGAAACTATACTCGATATCATGAAATCATGTAAATTCCAACCATTTGACTTTTCAAACACAAAAATCACACGGAAGAAATTCTTTTCACAGGACAATCTTACAAAACTGTTTCGAAGTTTGAACCCTAATGAATCCAGCTCGTGGCCTGCTAATGTGCTCTGGGCACCTATGTCATAATTAAAAGTACGTACGTGAGGGTCTTTTGGGGTCAAAACGTCAGGTACAAAATCAATATATATATAATCAAATGAATTGATGCTTTTCATGCGAGAAAAGCCGCGTTTTTTAACTTTCCGGAAAAGAGTTCTGCAGCAGTTGAATTGATTATGATATAAAATGTCCCTTTTTCCATTTACTTCCTGTTGCCAAGTTTATAAGTAAATCATACACCATCATACCACAAACTGTTTAGTAAATGTACCGGTTTCCTAGATGTGTAGCTTTGTGTCAGTGTATACGTGTGTTACACAAGTGTTGACTTGTGATACAAGTGTGTATATTTATAACAAATGTAATGTGTTAAAAATGTGTCGCGTGCTGAAAGTGCGTAATGTGTTACAAATGTGTCCCGTGCTGAAAGTGCGTAATGTGTTACGAATGTGTACCTGTGTTGAAAGTGCGTAATGTGTTACGAATGTGTACCTATGTTGAAAGTGTGTAATGTGTTACAAATGTGTCCCGTGCTGAAAGTGCATAATGTGTTACGAATGTGTACCTGAGCTGAAAGTGTGTAATTTGTTACATATGTGTCCTGTGTTGAAAGTATGCAATGTGTTACAAATGTGTACCTGTGCTGAAAGTGTATAATGTGTTACTTATGTGTCCTGTGTTGAAAGTATGCAATGTGTTACAAATGTGTACCTGTGCTGAAAATGTATAATGTGTTACATATGTGTCCTGTGTTGAAAGTATGTAATGTGTTACAAATGTGTACCTGTGCTGAAAGTGTATAATGTGTTACAAATGTGTCCCGTGCTGAAAGCGCATAATGTGTTACAGATGTGTACCTGTGCTGAAAGTGTGTGCAGTGTTACAACTACGTATTTGTGCTTTAAGTGTGTAATATGTTACAAGTGTATAAAATCTTTTGAAGAAGTGCGTGACTGTTTTACAGATACAGATACATGTTTTTAATGAAAGACACTGGTAGTTGATTAGCATACCTATTACATTTTAAAATTGTCAGGAATTTGAGTACTTTAAGATATAGACGTAATTATTACAATGTACAATCACAAAAAATACTTGTGTAACAAGTACAAATATGTGTGTTTTATTCTTCTTCGTTGTTTTGTATTCAAGTTTCAGTTATAACTGTTAAAAATGTATATAAAATTACAGCTGTGTGTACATAAATTGTGTATTTTTTTATCATTATATACATAAGGATATTGATACCTAACTTTAATATTTCTATCAAGTATGCATGTATAAGAAATGTTATTGTATACGTACTTGATTGAGTTTACTGATTTGGTAATATAGTACTAAGGAAGAAATGTTTTTATATTTCACGCGTACGTCGCGGTTCTACTGTGATTGGCTGTCAGTCATTTTTATTTTAATTGTGACGTCACTACATCATGACGTCAAAGATTCATGAAACCGTACACATGCTCAAATATATTTTGTGCTTATGCAAAAATCATTTATGGTTTTAATTTGATATCTGAATGTTTTTTAATGATTTGAAGAAATTTCTGAAAGACATCCAGAGTGAGGTATTGTTTTATTGAATTAAGCTTTGGTTTTTGACTGATATTTCAAGACGTAAACAAAATTAGAGAAAGTTGGATGGAGCTCAAACTTCACGCTTGAGCCAATGAAGAGATGAGATGGCCGATTTCAAATTCGAGTCGATATGAAGAAATGTTCCTTTCACGAGTATCAAACCAAAGGGCTGCAATCATTAACTCGAAAGGATTGTTCTCGCAAGTTTGTGGTAGATTGAAGACCGAATAATTCTACACATGCATTGTGACCACGATAAAAAAATCCTTGACAAGGATATCAGAAATTAAACAGCTGTACATAACTAACATATTTCTAATAGCTCTGATATAAAATCAGACGAATTTTTGTGCTTTCCCTATACATTACTTTTCTAATTTATCAAAAAAAAAAACGAATACTCGCTTTTAAAATGAGACTATGTGTGTAAGGTTGGTTACCTTTTATATGGTGTTTTGATATTTGTGGAGTTTGTTCTGTGTACTCAGTTCTATCGACAATCAATCATTCACTCTGTATTACCTGTCAAATGTGTGGTCATTTTTGAACAATTTACTTTTTACACGAAGATTTTGGAAAACATTCCACCGACATATCCGGGTTTTTAATCAATAAACAGTTTTAAATCTGCTGATGAACAATATACAGACTGATGTAAGTGATTCAGTATGGCCATTGTTCCGCATCATTACATGCTCTCAATTATTCATTTTGTTACAGCAGTGTTTATCAATTTACTTATATATAAACTGGCTTTTGGGTTGATCCCGTGCGTTTACAAAATATCAATCTATTTTCTATCCGGATAAAGCCGATTTCACCTGATACGTTTATGTCGGACATAACATATTCGCTCATAATTTTACCTATGCTTGCATTTAACTTCTTATTACCAGTGCTTGCTATATTTTTGTTTACATTAAAAAAGAGCCCCTACCGACGTTTATATCTGCAGGCTCCTGGTCAGATATCAACTGTGCATTGTTCGTCATTGAAACAATTTTATTAGCAATGCATGGTCAAAGGGAAACAACTCTTGTTTTTAATGAACTTCCGTTATGTTATATTATATTGTCAGTCCCAATATTCACACCTATTCAAGAAATCCTTTGTTGATATTGACGTGAACAATCTGATAAAGTATATAACAAATGAAATTATTCAATGTATGTGACATTTTCTGTTCTATATATTTGTTATTGGATACAAGAATCTTTCAATTAAAAGAAATTGTTTTTGAGAACATCTCTTACAACATTTTCTTCATTTTGTTTTTTTCGATCCAAATGACGTTTTTTTTTTCATTTTTCAAAATCTTGTTTGATGGCCTCATCAAGTATTTCGGAGTATAGGTACAAGCTACACCATATTGTACCAGAGTCCAAATTCTATCAGAGTGCATTTCTGTACTCTATACACCACGTTGTATAGCACCGTGACGGTAAAGAACATACATTTATTTTGTAGATTGACCCAAATTATGTGCAATATATTTCACGAACTTATTATTGTGCTTGTATTTTGATTGCACAACGATTTTGTCTGAAGAGTTTTCATTGGACAGTTATGTTTTTAAAGACTTTTTCATTGGATTTTTTAATTTTCATTTCGTGATAATTTCTACTGTTAAAGAGTATTAATTAGGCCAAGATTTCATTTTTAACGCTGAATTTATGCACAATACAATGTTTTTCTCTAAACTTACATAAAATGAATAAAAACATTATTTATGAAAAATGCATTGATCTTTTTTTCCTTTCACATTAAAAAAAAATTTCACCATCTTTGTGTCGGTACCAGAATTAGAATTAGCCTTTGCATTTAGGCAAATTGGTTTAGAGAGATATCGTTCATTTCCGTGTTCAATCGCACCTGGGTGTATTGCAGACCAAACACATTTTGCTAGATATCCATCTTTACAATAAATACATTATTTGTTTCATTGGTGTGTGTCGCAACCTACATGCCACGTCTTAATTATTTTGAATAGTGTAACTGTTCTGAATATTTACATGTACTTGACAATCTTTTAAAATTATGGAATATGTGAAAATTACGATGTTTATTGAACTATAGAATTAAAATACCTTCCCGCATCTTGATTTTTTACTTTTCTTTTATAAAAGGAAAATTTTGATTTTCCTCCGTCACCTCATAAAGTTTCAAGATTAAATCCAATATGCGTTACAGATGATTCCTGGAATGACGTAACAGCGGTATGATGCTGTTAAATACATTATTTGAATCTGATGTTTATAATTCTACATGACGTTAGAAGGTACTTCAATTGTGTTTTATATACTTTATACGCTTCAGGTAGAACCTGCAAGGAAACACTGCAGAAATTGACCGATGCGAGAAAATTTATTTTGAATGTTCACCGAGAGGTACGTTTAATGAAGTAGTTGACGGTACACAGTCTTAAAGTGGTCGGAACAATCAAGCATGAAAGTTCTTAAAATTATCCAATTTTACATAAAATGATTTAAAAGTCTTACTGGAACTTCCTCCTCTCTTTTGTCTACATCCGTAAGCATTTAGCTATATCCAAAGTTCTTCCGGTGCGCCATTTTGACCTTTGCTACCCGAGGAGTTCTTCGTAACACCGCATGTTATTATTTCGTATAGATAATGGCAGGGTTTGAAATAAAACACACGAGTGCTGATTGATAAGTTGTGAGCCTGATATTTAAGGGTTTGAATTTTGGCGGACATATTACATTATTTTTTAACGTAATCCCTTTCAGTATCTACACATATCTGCTAGCGATGCTTAAAGGCCTCAATGCCACTTTTAAAGAAGTCTATTTCTTGACCGTTCAGAGAGTCCTCCACTGCATGCATGACGTCATCATCCGACCGATACTGGGAAGGAAATGACCTTTATCAAGTTTGGAAATTTGTAACTTACCAGTCAGCAATAATAATCATAGAGATAACAATATTATGGACTTTATTGTGCATTTCCGGGGTTAAAGTAGTGACATGCCTTCCAGGATGGGCGTCATTCCCAAGGCTCTTTCTGCTACGCTTAAATTCCGCCACCCAGCGTCACACTGTAGTATATGAAGGGACATCATTCCCAAATGTAGCAACCATATAAGTATGGATATCCTTAGGTGCTAGACCTTTCTTATGCAAATATTAAATCACAGCTCTTTCAGCGATTTTGTCTATTTTGTAAAAAGTCGCTTGTCTTGTTTAATTCAGTGCTATCTCTTCGAAATGAACTGACCAATGACACCAGTCTTCGGGTGCACAGCCTTAAATAGTCAGGGGATACCTGCTTGAATTCTTCAATACAAAGCTCAGAACGGATCATACAGCCCTCCTACGTACTTGAGGTTCTTTTGAATTCAACTTGTATTTAAAATTCATGCGAATTGATTGAATTTTGGGACGAATGGACTCATCCATCCTTTCTTAAACTTTTATTTCTGTCAGATTTAACTTTTTTTAAAGTCACCCGGATTTCAATATTTTGTTTCCCTAGCATCGCCAGAGTTATATAAGAATTAATTCTCGGTATGAAGTTGTGTTATACGTTATCAGAAGTATGATATGCATTAAAATTAAGGCCACACACAGGAACAACAATTATCTTTCATTTTATTTATCAAGTATATGATGAAAGCTCAATCTATTCAGCAGCCCCAGTTCAAACCATAATAATTGTTAACTGTAGAAGACTGAAGAAAGAACGTAATAAAAGGATAAATAAATATAAATAGATAAATAAATAGATAAATAAATAAATAAATATATAAAATGGTACGTGTATCATAGAATGTCTAGTGTAGCTCAGACAACAGAAAGCTACCAGTAAATACCACCTTTACATGTCTCCCATTCCTGATTTTGATATATAATGCTTCTTAATCTGGTTGTTTTAAATATAGATCACGAATTTAAGTTTCATAATCAGCGTATCCTGTTAACGACAATCAAACAAATGTATTTTAGTCCGTTTCCTTCCATTGCAAATCTTTCATACAGAGCTTCCGGTACCCACACCCGTCGAAACACGGGGGTCCAAATGAAATTTCAAACATAAGCAAACATTCCTGAATTATAAAGTCAATTGATTCAAACGGCTATTTGAAATTATTTTTTTTGTTAGAATATATTTGCGCGTGACATTCCATAAGAAAAATACACATATCGAAACAAAGTGTGTCAGATATTCCGTAACTAGTGAAACTGTGTGGAATGGTGTGAAATAACCGTGCAGTATTTAGCCACAGGTACGGGCGTAAGTTGGTTCATTAATTGAGTGACTTCTTCCGTGTCCGGGTATCGTCTCACCGACGAACGTCAGTGTTCTGGTGAAGTGAGGGGGCGACATACATCCCCTCAATGAGATGGAACCGTCTGTAGCGGTGATCGTTTGATTATACTAGTTTTTGTAGAAGACTCCAGGGCCTAATGGTGCCTTATCCTATTTCCAGAAGTTTAAACATGCACCGAAACTGAAAGGACTGAGTTGAGGGGCCTATCTAGATTTGGTTTGAGTTCTGGTAAGTTTGAAGTCGGTCTAATGCCTTAAAATAATTGTATAGTCTGACACTACCCCTAGACCCATAGACCGGCGTTATCACGCCTACTTTTTTCGCAAAATCACATAGGGATCTTTAGCGTGCGAGAATGGACAATCCTCACACGGGCCACCGTTTAAAGTCCCATCCGCCGTACTACGGCTAGTATTTAGTTCGGTGCAGGTGCAATTATAATTAACATTTTATTTGTTGTTGTCCCGTCTTGAAACCTTTCCGATCATATTTACTAAGGTTCTCCATCACTTTACAAATGTCTATTACTTTCTGTGATTCCACTCCATTCTTTCTGCATACATCTCTTCACTAAACCGATTTTTTTATAATTATATATGTGATTTTATGTGAATGTTCAGATTTCGAAAGGTGTGTGGGGTTTCGGCATAATAAGTTACGTTGAAGTAGAAAGCGTCATGATAGGTTTATAGATTAGAGGTATTGAAAAGAGAAAGAGTCTGCGCATGTACATGTAGGATGGTTGAATTATGTTTTATGCTATGTGTTTAGCAGGAGTAATGTGTTAACTATAACTGGTTACATGTTGAGTATAGACGAAGAGGCATTAGGCTGTTTAATCTAACCTATATAGTATTATATACATCCCGCGGTTTGTGTAGAAGTACATTTTACATAGGTTGTGAGATGAGGTAGGGGGTTTGGGGCGGGGGTCTTGTATGGTGTTAGTTCAGTGGTGTGTAAGGTTGTGTGTTGTGTTGTATACATGATTGTGTGTTGTGTTGTAAGTATGTTTGTGTGTGTTGGTGTATATGTGGTTGTGTGTTGTGTTGTAAGTATGGTTGTGTTTTGTGTTGTATATATGGTTGTGTGTTGCGTTGTATGTATGGTTGCATTGGGTATAATTGTGTGAGATTCTAGATTTCAAGATTTCTGGTATTGATGTTGTGTGTACTGTTTGAGCTTATAACCAGTGTTGATAAAACAGTTCTGTATAATAATTATCGAGAACACTTTATCCCCATTGTCCTACCTAACAGAGTTCCATATACAACATGCCAGGGTACAAGACCCGAATCCGACTACAAACCAGTCAAAGACCGGTGTACCAGGAGGTGCTCTTTATGTCTATTCTATACTGGACGTAGGGCCTTAAATGTGGAGTTTGTTTGTGCGTTTTTCTTCATATTCAGTCGTTTGTATACCAAATACTTGAAAGGGTGGACTTACTTGTGTGTGTTGTTTTATTTATGTGTACAGTTTCAGCAGTGGGCATTCCGCTCGGAATCCCCGGGGACACAACTGTCTTCGCTGTATATGTAGACTATGTTAGAAATGTGAATGCAGGGGAAGGGGCACAGAGGAGGACACCACATACCTCATGAGTTGTCAGTATGAACCAATGAATGAGAGGATCAGTAGTGATCCTCCCTGGTACAGTCTCCCTAGGTATCCTGAGGTCCCACCTTTTACGCGGAATATTGCACAGGGTTCAGGCAATCGGAAGACTGCGACCCTTGCAGTGACCTTGGCATGAGTCTCCAATTCCTACACCATCGTCTTTCCTATTTAGTGTTTAGTATTGTGTCTTATGTTATATTTCATTGTAGAAATCTATAGTTTTCAAATACCTGATTAATACATAGTATATTGTGGCAATGTCCCGACTATTTAGTGCGGATAACATGTGATTGGTGCAAATAATTTACTTCCTTATACAGTTCGGCCCAAGCTGTTAAATGTTTGGGACAGAAAACATGATCGATTGTTTCCAAATTATTACAGAACTCACAATATTAATGTTCGATTTCAATTTTGTTTTGCCTAATCCTAATCTTGTGATAATTTTGCCATCTGATTTACTGTGACCGTATAATTCTGTCTCTCTAATTGGTTTTTTCTGTAATTTGTCTAAAGTTATTTAAATCTCTCCGGTCTCCCCACATTCCATCCAATTTTTGAGCTATTTTTTCTTTGGTCAGAACATAGGCGTTTGTTTTGGTAAGTTTGACATCGATGTCACAAAAGTTGGTAGGGTCAGTGCGCTATATGAAAAGTCAAACAAAAATATCTTACATTCAAGCGCGTCACTTTGCAGCCTCTGTACTCACAGTGTTAAATAAGCTTGCTTTCTCCTCTTAAACGGGGTAGGCGGTACCGCGGGGGGAATCGCGGTTTACGTAAGGGCGATGGGTGCATGCGTGGGTGGGGGAGGGGGATTTCTTTCCAGAGGATAGTGCAGAGTGTGTAGGTAAGAACACGCTCCTCCTTCCACGCAAAAAAAGGGATTCCCCACAGTATCGCCAACACCCAATGTCGATTGTTGGATTAAGGTAACAGTATAGTAACGAAACTCCAAGCATAGATTTAATAAACTGGTTGATATACTCTAAGTATATAAAAAAACTTATTTTTAATACATGTGTACTTTTCAACATGAATATAAATAACTTCTTTATTTGACTTAATTAACACTTGAAATACCAAAGGATAACGGTGAACTGGTGACCTTTCCACAGGAACCCCATGCCAAACTTCAGTCTACTTGAGTGTGTAGGTAAGAACACGCTCCTCCTTCCACGCAAAAAA